TGGCGATCGGCAATGACGGCGTCAACACCCAGGACCAATCGGAGAAGCGATCAGCCGTATTCCAGTGAGGCGCGGGTCTGAGACATGGCCCATCCCGACTTTCGTTTCCCAAATTTCTTTTTTTTTGCCCACATTCGCCATTGGCGCCCGTGTACGCCGTGTCCCGCGCATAAGGGCGGTTATGCCGCTTAAGGAGATTTCGACTTTGTTATTTTTTTCTGCATATTCACACCATATATATTTTATTTATTTCATTCCTATTATAACATTATTCTAATTCTGTTTCTCCCTAATTCTTTCTAAAGCCTGTTTTCTTTTTTTCATGGATCTGGCGCCCATCTCGGGAATAATTGATGACTGCAGCGTGCCGCGGCGCTAGGACCAAGGGAACTAAAATCAAGAGGAGTCGGCTGGGCACGGATGCCTCATGGGCGCTTTCAGGGAGTTTAGACGACTTAGGTTTTCTTTGTTTTAATTCAAACTCCCTACTTTATCTGTCATATTCTTAGAATACTTCGAATATTTACGTACATACCTAGGTACATATGGACGGTTGATTCAGCCCAACTCTTAGAATTCTATCACTATCACTTTTCTCATGCACCTATCATAATTTCATAAATTCATTAATAGCCAAATGTAATAATAATAATAATAATAATAATAATATCCAATGGGACATAAATGCAGGAGTACATTGGTAGGTTGGTAGATATATATATACATGATCCTCTGAGCCATGGAGAGAGCTTGTGCTGACTAAGACCTCGACGAGACCGCGAGAGATCAAGTTCAAACATCCAACGCGCTCTCACCGCCAGAGTCTACGATAGCTTCCTTTTTTCTTGTCCCCCATTTCGTGCTTTTTTTTTAACTGCCTTCAGAGTCTGGTAAGCCTTGACCTAAACTCACTTTTCCCCCCTTAGTCCCCCCCGTCCAATCATCTCTCGTCCTGACATCGTGCTGACCTCCCAGACCCCTCTAAAGGATCTCTACCCCACCAAACACACTTGCTTCTCATTCCCCTCTATCATTTGATACTGCCCTGCAGCCGCCCTGGCACCACCATATCCTGTCCAGGCGGGTCCCATTAACCTCCACCCTTGATTCTCGTGTCTCAACCCCCATTCCGTCATCAGAGGCGACATCGCCAGCCTCCGCCGGGATGTCGATTTCGGTACAAGAGCTGGACAACACGGTCCGAGCTTTGTTTGAAGGCAAAGGTGCAGTGGTAAGTTGAAACTTCTGCTCTATACAGCTTGGATTGTAGAATTCATGGATTCTCTATATCCCTCAGTGAAGATCTGGGGACAACGACACTGACACTTATCACCACATCTAGCAAAATCAAGCACAACAGACTTTGACAGAAGTAAGCGCGCAACCCCTCGACAACGTCATCTGGATTGAAAGCTAATTATTTCTGTGCTCTTCAGTTCAAGCAAAATCCCGATGCCTGGGTTACCGTGGGCAATATCCTCCAAGAGGCCTCATACCTTCAAACTAAATGTGTGTTTTGAGTGGCAACATCTCCCCTACGCCTTCAAATGCCTGGAAAAAGAGTTACTGACCTTAATAGACATTGCTCTCCAAGTGTTGGACAATGTGATTATGACCCGGTGGAAGGTCCTACCAAGAGACCAATGCCAGGGTAAGAAACTACAGTGACCTTGTGGCTTTGTCTCCCGCCCATGCTAACATTATTCGTAGGTATCCGCAATTTTATTGTGAGATTTATTCTCGAGAACTCCGAATCCGAAGAGAAGATCCAAGCGGAGCGCCCTCTATTGAACAAGCTCAATCTCGTGCTCGTCTCCATTCTGAAGCAAGAATGGCCGCACAACTGGCCCACCTTCATCAACGAGATCATTTCTTCTTGTCATGCCAGCCTTTCGATCTGTGAAAACAACATGACGATTCTCCGTCTGTTGTCGGAGGAAGTCTTCGATTTTTCGCAAGACCAAATGACTTCTGCCAAGGCACGGAATTTGAAGACCTCCATGACCTCGGAATTTGCGTCGATCTTCCAATTGTGCTCCGAGGTTCTTAACACTGCAAACCAACCCAGTTTGGTGAAAGCGACCCTCGAAACTCTTCTTCGATTTTTGAACTGGATCCCGTTGGGCTACATTTTCGAAACTCCTATCATCAATACTCTCCTCACCCGATTCCTCGGAGAGCCCGAGTTCCGAAATGTGACTTTGAAGTGTCTGACTGAGATTGGTGGCTTGCAAATTGGCGCTCCTTACAACTATGACGAACGATTGGTGCACATGTTCACAGAGACCCTCACAACCGTTTCCAATGTCATTCCTCTGTCCTTGGATCTGAAGCAGACATATGCCATGAGCAATGGAAGAGACCAAGAGTTTGTATCAAACTTGGCCTTGTTCCTCTCGAGCTTTTTCAGTGCTCATCTGGATGTATGCTTCTCCTTCTCTCCAACGCCATGTTGTTGTTTTAGTTTTACTGACTTTTGGCTTTCTTCTATAGCTTATCGAAAAGTTGCCCAACCAAGATTACCTCACACACGCACATTTCTATCTGATTCGGGTCAGCCAGATCGACGACCGGGAAGTGTTCAAGATTTGCTTGGACTACTGGACAAGGCTCGTGCAAGAACTTTACGAAGAGATGCAGCAGCTCCCAATCACCGACATCAACCCGCTGGTATCCATGAGTGTTAGTGGGTTGGCGAACGGTGGCGCTCCCAATCCCGCTACCCTAGCGAACTACCCCTTGCGCAAGAACAAGTACGAGACTGTGTTAACAAACCTTCGCACCGTGATGATCGAGAAGATGGTCCGCCCAGAAGAGGTCTTGGTTGTTGAGAACGATGAGGGTGAAATTGTGCGCGAGTTCGTCAAGGAAAGTGACACCATCCAACTTTACAAGACGATACGCGAGTGCTTGGTCTACCTGACCCATCTTGATGTGGTTGATACAGAGACTATTATGATTGATAAACTGGCTAAGCAAGTTGATGGAAGCGAATGGTCGTGGGTGAACTGCAACACGCTTTGCTGGGCGATTGGTTCTATCTCTGGAGCCATGAACGAGGAAACCGAGAAACGTTTCCTGGTAACCGTAATCAAGGATCTTCTTGGCCTCACAGAGCAGAAGCGCGGAAAGGACAACAAAGCCGTCGTGGCGAGTAACATCATGTACATCGTGGGACAATATCCCCGGTTCTTGAAGGCTCACTGGAAGTTCCTGAAGACGGTCGTCAACAAACTCTTCGAGTTTATGCACGAGACACACGAAGGTGTCCAAGACATGGCTTGCGATACGTTCATCAAGATCGCCAATAAGTGCAGACGCCATTTCGTGGCTCTCCAACCTGGTGAAGGCGAACCTTTCATCGAAGAAATTGTCCGAAATATGAGAAAAATCACCATGGATCTTTCCCCGCAACAGATTCATACTTTCTACGAAGCCTGTGGCTACATGATCTCAGCTCAAGGCCAAAAGGGTCTCCAAGACCGCTTGACCGAGAACTTGATGGCGCTCCCTAACACTGCCTGGGATCAGATTATCGCGGAGGCAAACCAAAACCCGGCGATTCTGCAAGATGCTAACACGATCAAGATCGTTGGGAACATCATGAAAACTAATGTCGCAGCTTGCTCCTCAATTGGTACCTACTTTTATTCCCAGATTGGCCGGATCTATCACGACATGTTGAATATGTACCGTGCTGCCAGTCAGCTGATTAATGATGCTGTTGCAAGCGATGGTAAGTAACCCAATTCCCCGTTCATGAACACTCGAATTTTTCCCCCTTGACTGACACAAACAGGAGCCATTGCACCGAAAACCCCTAAGGTCCGAGGACTTCGGACCATCAAGAAAGAAATCTTGAAGCTCATTGACACCTACGTGGACAAGTCAGATGACCTTGAGATGGTCAACGCCAGCATGGTACCACCGCTCATGGAGGCTGTACTGATTGATTATGCCCGGAACGTCCCCGATGCGCGCGAGGCCGAGGTCTTGAATGCCATGACTACGATCATCCACAAGCTTCACGTATGTTCCTTCTCCCTTCTTGTTTGACTTGATGACTGGCAATGCCCTTTATTTAATGGCCTGACACGTCGCGTACTTGAACTTTGCTAACAAGTTAACTAGAATCTGATGGAGGATAAGATTCCAGCCATCATGGACAGTGTTTTCAACTGCACCCTTGAGATGATCAACAAGGACTTCCACGAATACCCTGAGCATCGGGTTGAGTTCTTTAAACTGCTTCAAGCTGTCAATCTGTACTGCTTCCAGGCGCTCTTGAAGCTCGACGCTGCGCAGTTCAAGTTTGTCATCGATTCATGCATGTGGGCATCGAAGCATGACAACCGCGAGGTGGAGAACACTGGTCTTACAATGTGCCTGGAGCTGATGAACAACATGGCCGAAACTGACCCGCAGACCTCGAGCATTTTCTTCCGCGAGTTCTATATTCCAATTCTTCAGGACGTCTTCTTTGTCCTCACGGATAGTGACCATAAGGCTGGTAAGTAATGCCCTTTGTCTTTGGTATGCAACATGAAGTTTACGTGTTCTTTTAGGATTCAAATCCCAGGCTATGCTTTTGTCGCGCATGTTTTACTTCGTGGAATCGGGCAAAATCCAGCAGCCCATCTATTCCCCCGATCAAGCCCCGGCTGGAACTTCAAACAAAGACTTTTTGCGGGAGCACATCGCAAATCTGCTCAAGAATGCATTCAGTAATCTTCAAGAGTGAGCTCCCTCGGCGTCGATTGGAACCATGCAAGTCCGTACTGACCTTTCCACCAGAGCACAAATCAAGCAGTTTGTTCTTGGACTGTTTGCATACACTGATGACCTAAACAAATTCAAGACCCACCTTCGTGATTTCTTGATTTCCCTGAAAGAGTTTTCTGATGACAACGCGGAGCTGTATGCGGAAGAACGGGAACAGGCGGTGCGTGATGCCCAGGTTGCCGAGCGCGATCGAGCTATGAAGGTCGGAGGCCTGTTGAAGCCATCGGAGATGGATCAGGAGGATGAGCTATGACTGGACCAAGAACTGCGCACTGAGTTTGTTGCTGCCTCTACTGGTACCCCTGGACATGAGCAAGAATCAAGGTTGACCTCCCAGAATGACTGCCTTGACGGCTGGTCCTTCTACGAGCTCTAGATCATGGGAAGCCATGTGTCGCAACATAGGAGGCTTTGCTCTGGAAAGATGTGTGTGAATTTATCCTTTTATCCTTTCTTCTTTTTTTATCACCCCCTTGGTTGGCTATTGGGCATGCGAGATAGACCCATTCCCTGTCTGAGCCGGTTCTTTGAGGTTGGTGCATCACGGCTCTACATGGAACGGATTTACCAATTTCATCCGTGTACTTTGCCTATTCAAGGCGCGAGCTTGTTTGATAGCTTTTGACGTCAAATGATTAAAAAAATTTTCCAATTCAAAAATACAAGAATAGTCGCTCATGCGGCCTTGTCAAGTAGACTTTCTTGGTAGTCTGCTCAGATATTCAGTCCTATAGACGACTTTCTATAACCAGGGACATGCTAACCAAACTATCATTGATCGTGTTGCATTTCAACGACAAAACGGGTTCTTAACCTGAAACTCGGACAGGCCGAGTGCATATCTTTGAAAGATTCAAATGTGTAATAAATGCCTAGTAAACTTCATTTGATGTACTCCGTAGGTCTATGCTGTATACCTAGCATGGTACATACTACATACAAGACCGGAAGGCGGTGAGTCCTTATCGGTTGCATCATCAGAAAAAGTACCTAGGTAGCCAGAGTGATTGATCCTTTGATCCTTTGATCCTTTCCTTCTTTTTAACTCTCCTCGCTCTATTCCATCCTCATCACAATGTCTCGAACACGCCAGCCAATGGCGTCAAATCTGTTCCAAACCACCACAGAGTCGCCACAAGACTCAACAGCCCACATTCCCACAACCCTCAGATTACGAGCCGAGGAAGCCCCAACTGACACCAGCGAAGCAACATCGTCTTCTCGGCGAATCAGATGGAGTGAAGATGTTGTAGATAATGAGGGCATGGGCAAAAAGAGCTCGAAAGGTATGGATATAATTTATCTATTCTATTCACCCCGGTCATTCCCCGCAACCAGCAACAATCTAACCACCATCAGTATGCTGCATCTACCACAAAGCTCGGCCAGTGGGAGAAAGTAGCTCAGAAGAGTCATCATCCAGCTCATCTGAGAGTGACAGCGAGAGTGAAGACGACCGTCGCACCGCCAGAGTCAACCAGGCTCGCCACACACACTCACACAACGGAGGGCGGGAACCCCACGGCGAGCACGCGTCCCACCCTGGGTGTTGCCCCGAAGACCACGGCTCTAAACCGAAACGCAATCGCAGGAAGCCGAGTCCTAATGCATATGAGAAGATGCCTAAGCCGTCGAAGGCTCAGAAGCAGAATCAAAGTCATGTGCGGGGTACTTGATCTTGTTTTTGAGGGTTTTCTAATTGGCAAGGCAATGCAAGAAAAGGCGATGAGGCGGAACTGAGCAAATCCTGGGCTAGGCTTCGGGTTGGGGCCCTGTTGCATGGTCATACGAATCATCTCGGCTGGGGTCGTATATTCTACCCCTCCCTCTGTGCGTGAGATGTGACAGATCTATGTCTATGCGCGGTGTGTATGACATTTGCACGACGCTGGGACAGAGACAACCCATCCGGTGGGTGGCAGCAGGAAAATGTACAATGAACGGCATGACCTTTGAAAGAATCAGGGGAAAGACATGCCGAATCCATTTATGGCGCGCTGCATTCGATGCGACGGTTAGATGGTCATTGAAAGAGCTACTTCTACTTGGCCTACTTGAAACGCGTAGGGTGGGGTTGGGTAGACAAGATAATGAAATTTTTATTGGGAAGATAGGGATCGCAGTGAGGGGGTATCTGAAACATAACTGCAGCCCGGTCCGGTCTATAATTGTACATGATAGAGAAATCCTGTTTCTGCAAGCGCTCAAGCGGACTTCATACCATCATGCTTTTTCTCCTTGCAGCAAGGCGCTGGCCACGTCTGACGTCACTGGTGTCCATTATAGAACCGTTTGGTCCCGGTCCAAATGAGTCTTCATCTTCTAGAGAGTCGATTGGGGATTGCAATTCACCCTGGTCCACGTCGTATTGCGCCACGTTTGCAGTTGTACTTTTGGGGTTTGACGAGTGACGTCGAGTCTGACGCCTCGAATTCAATGGCTTTTGAGATACTTGGGCTGAGATATCTGCGAGACTGTCCTCAATCTCTTTCTTGAGACCAGAACTTGGATTCCCCGCATCGCTGTCGTCCTTTGGGTTCGATGACACCTTGCGTTTTCTCCGGGAGACCATTGCTAGCAGCTGTTCTGAGGATCCATCTACGGAGAACATATCTGAGCTCTGCGCAAGACTGAAATCAGCTGGGAGGCTGGCATGAGGCTGGGTGTGGTCGCCCTCTCCTCCACCGTCCAAACTTTCCCGACGTGCCTGGAAACTGGAGGACCTTCTCGATCCAAATGCAACAGCATCAATCATTTCCTTGGTAGGACGGCGCATCTTGTCCCGTAGGTTAGGCTCTGCATAGCTAACCACAGCACCACGACGTCGGGAAGGCCGAACTGCAGACTCTTCCTCTGTCTTCATTGCATTTGGATGCGGTGAAAGTGCTGGCTGGTGCTCTTCCAGCTGGGGAGGGGCAGGGCGATTGGTGCGCTTTTCTTTGTTTGAAGAGACGATTCTGGACACTCGCGGCTTTTGGTTGGCAGTCTTGCCACCGAATTTCTCGACATCCTTAACTTTTTGTGGCGAGTTGTTATTCTCGTCGCCCTTGGTGGAACTTTGCAGAAGCTTAGAGTCCTGGTGTGAAGACATGCGGGCCTTCTTGGGAGAGCCTAGATTGGAGTTTGCACTCTCTGTTCCGGTTGTTAGCTACACTCATTGTAGGGATTGAACTAAATCAGTGCAGAACATACTTGGTTCGAGGACCTTCCGCATAGACAGGACGGGGGGTTTTGATCCTCTTGTCACTTCAAAGTGGCTTTTAGTGGGTGACTGGTCTCGCTGTGTATCTTTGAATGGAGTTGTTTGCTTTTTGGGGCTATGGCTGGGTCGGGTGAATTGGAATTCGTCATCGTCGACATTAAGGTTGGATTCAAATCTGTCATCGTCTTCGGGCACGTATTTGCGCTTTGTTGAAGCCGATGTTGCATGTTGTGTTGAATCGATGGGTGGACTTCGTTGCCGATCTGTTGGCGCGGGGCTAATTTCAGGCGCAACAATCGAACTCGACTTCTTTTTCTTCTTGCGGGTCTCGAGAGTTGAAGGAAGTGATGGCTCGCGTTCTCCGGGTGTATCATTGTTCATTTGGCTCGTGAACGTTGATTCTAGTGGCGATGGGCTGGAATGTTCGATGGGTGCATCTCCTTCCTCTGGCATAAAGCTGAACTGTGGTGGGGATTGTAGAATGCTGTGGTCGTCGTGGATTAGGCTGTCGAGATCTTGCGGCCTGAAGAAGGTGTTAGCAACTTGGAGTGGCCCGAAAATATCGAATATTCTTACTCCAACGTCCGCCGAGGGTAATATTTGTCCTCAACAATGGCAGGGAGCCTGCCATCTTCGCCTTCCATCATGTCTTCTGTCCTAGGTCTGGACTCCGCCTGCTTTGGCTTATCGGGCTGTTCGTCGCAGAGCTTGCCCACCTTGCGGGGTAATGAGCCCAAATCTGCCGCCAAATTGCTCAACTCGGCTAGTTTGGCATCTAGCTTGGATTTGATGTTGTATATTCCATTGTGTAGCATTTTCCCTACTTCCAGCCTTTCGGTTTCCTGGGTGAGATTGATGACCTGTTCGCGAAGTGACACATTCTCCGAAAGTAGATGCGATACTTCTGACTCTAGGCTGCGAATACGAAGCGATTGCAAGGAATTCACCCTCGCGATCTCACGGTTTTGTCGCACAAATCGTCGCTTCACTGAGTAGAAACAAAGAGGTCACATGTCAACTGCTAGCTCGAATGTTGTAAAATAGTGGTAATTGTGCGAACTTACAAGCATCAATGGACTCGGCAGGAGCCGCATGGTCATTCAACCGAGCCATGGTGTAGATTGGGGGGCAGCGACCACTGCGTAATTAGATGGATTGGAGGACAATCCTGGTGTGCAGATGGAATGAACTTGAAGGTAATATCGAGTCCACGGATTATACACCAGGAAATGACAGTGTTCGAGGTTGAGTCCTGAGTATGGGATACAAAGAGAGAAGGTAAACAACGTCGAATGCCAAGCCCTTGTTGACGTTTGTCCGCTTTTGGTTTAGCTTGCCCAGTGTCTGGATGACTCAGCGCCCCTCCGGGGCTGGAGAGTTGTCCAACAGGTACGGACCTTTAAGAGATCGCGTTCTTCGTACCTTGTACCTGCTTCTGCCGCTCCTTTCCCATAATGGCATACTCATCACGACCAACCTCAATGCTTCCAGGCGCTCCTGGTGGCTCTTCTATGCGGCAGCCCAGTGGTTCGCAATCCTCGCAGCAATCTTCGGCGCTCTCGGCCCGCATTGCAGCCAAAAAGGCCGAGCTGGACAACCTGCGACAACTACGAGATCTGAGTGGAACATTGGCGATTCAGATGCAAGCTTTGGATAACAAGATCTCCACGCTGAAAGATGGCACCGAAGGTTGGTCTACCTGTGCCTTGATTCGACCGGGCTCTCGCTAACTGTAATCCTGTTAATAGCTGTTGCATACGTGCTTTCCAACTGGGATAACGTGCTTAGGGCCATTACTCTCGCCTCGAGTAAGTGCTACTTTCTAATCTTGGAATTCCATACTGATTTTAATCCTATAATAGACAAGGCAGGCGGACTCTATGAACCTACTGAGTCGAACAGTAAGAATGTGGAGAAACCGCGCAACGACACTCACCTGCCATCGACGCTGGTTCGCATTCCAGCTGAGCCACGTGATAAGACGGGCGAGTGAATCGGCCAGTAACATCTCTCTCCCTTCGACTCCAGCTGAAACACCGTGAATGATCGCATATTTTGCGGCACACCTGAATCATTTCTGGAAGTTTGATAGGCACCCTATGCACTGGCTCGATATTTCTCTGGGTTATCTCGCCTATATGTGTATCCGCTTACAGAATTGGCGATTACATTTCGAGAGTACACTCGGACCTACCTGGGTGACTACTTGGCTCATGTCAATATGACTAATGAGTGGCCTCTCCCAGAACAGAAGACTATTAAAAGAAGACAAGATTGCTTCTAGGTCTAATCATTGGGCTTCCAGTCATGTTCGCAGGAAGCACGATTCTGAGCATCAACGAGAATCCATTTCTCGCGTGACCCACTAATTCCTATGCAGAGTTTGGCCCATGCAATAAAGATGGTTATCTCGAAATGGCAGACAAATCAGAAGAGGATTAAGATGATTTCTTCTTCCCCTCATTTTTAGTTCCTTTTGAAACTTCTGCACTACTGCAAAGATAATCATTGGTATAGGAATAGCTGCATAGCAGGAATATAACTGGACAATGATGTGATTGGCGCATGATAGACTATGTACACTATGTATATGGGCAATAGGTACAAGTTAATAGCAAGGTCCATCATGAGACCAGGGGAAGAACTGGACGGCGCTAGAGGAAAATTCTTATTACCACTTCGAGGTACCTGCAGATTTTTAGGGGCAAAAGAGGGCGAACGGACTCTTCCAAGGCTACTAATAGTGGCCTATTTAGGTATATGTACCTGGAAGAATACTTAGCATAGAAGTACTACTATTAGTGGATTACATATAAACTATATAGAGTTATAATATGTCAGGTACTTACTTGTAGAGTACCTCAATACCTCTCGTTTCTTTTTTCTTTTAAGCGCCCGAAGCACAAAAAATTCCCCTCTTTTCCATTCTCATGCACTTCATTCGACATGGATGATATTTCCCCGCAATAGCCGGCTTTTGTACTTTGTACTTTGTATTTCGTATTTTATTCTTCTCTTTTTCTTTTTCTTTTTTTCTTTTTCTTATGACCTAGTTGCCCATTCCATTGGGTATGGCATGACACTTCAACAATGTCGGTCTTATGAGGTGATTAGGCTTCTTCACTTTGAATTCTTGACTTCTTGACTTTTCAGCTTTTGATCTTTCTCTTCTATAATCCTCATCCTCTCTCTAATATATCAATCTTGCAATCCTGAAACCTTGAAACCTTTTCAACGTTACAACATCCCTCAATTTCAGCTATCATTACCCTGAACCTGAGAACACCGTTTCTCTCATATACCATGTCGACTGAGTGGTCTTTAGACTTCTGCTTGGTCTGTGACCGTCAGACCTTGGGCGCTCCCTACTGCTCCCAAACATGCCGCCTAGCGGAGCTGGACGAGATATCGGATGGAATGTCACGAAGATCGAGCGCAGCCTCTACACATTGGTCTGAGATCAACCAGGCCCAAGCTCAAGCCGAGGCCGTCAATGCCCCGGACACCCATGACCCATCTCGAATCCTATCTGTCTCCTCATCTCAAACCTCACTCTCTTCGCTAAAGAGCAACACTTCCAATTCCTCTAATGCAGCCGACCGGCTCCAGGATGAATTGCGCGATTACGCATCTTGCTTCGACCAAGTCCGCGACCTGAAACGGCGCATGACTACCACATAATTTCAATTCGAACTCGAACTCGGACTCGAAACCAGTGCTTCTCGAGCCCATCATCCCACATCTGGATGATGCCGCACCCAAATGCATGCAGCCCTCATGCTGCTTTCTCATAATTTGCATACACTGCGAAGCAGGCGTCATTGTTGGAAAAGATATATTACTTCTCTATGTTTCTATTTCTCTTTTTCTGTTTTTCTTATGGATCAACCCGCCCACTTTGGTCTTTCTCACGAACCTATACCCCCAACTGTTATATATATCATGATCGTCGGAAGGAGTTGAATCCAGGCTAAGGTGTCTCAACCTAATTAGTTACCAGACTGCCTACAATCAAGATTGGAATTTTGGATGATTTTCTACTATTATTAAGGGATAAACAGAGAAAGAGCTTGATGTTCCCAACAGATGACTACCAAAGCCCAAGACTCGATTGGGTTAAGTGTGTGTCATGTTAAGTTCCCACCTAGGCACCGTCAAGATGGGTACCTTGAGGAATGTGTCCGATGTTAACTGGGAATGCTGGATATATCAATTAAAACTCGACTCCTCCGCAAAGCTGTATGGAACCAGCAATCCAGATGCAAAGCACAAGCACAAACTCTAGCCAAAGAATGCCATACACCCCTCGGACATCCCCCGGATTTGGCTCTGTGCAGAAGCAAATCCCTTCCCGAAATAGACGCCAAAGCCCATGTGGCACCATTCATTGCGCAAGAACTTTCGACAGAGCCTTTTCATTCTTCGGCACAAATCGGACCTTATATTTTTGAGGAATGGCCACCAAACTAGTCGGATCCGAGTTACCCCGGAGGGGGTGACATTCTATTTTATCATGAGGTTCGAGGCGGAAGCTGTTCAGGGTGCGGATGAAGACGAGGTAGAGCTCACGATTGGCTAGCAGCGAGCCGGCGCACATCCGGTAGCCCATACCGTACGTAAAGAGAGGCGCGTCGGGCTGCTCGAGCCATCGCTCGGGACGGAACTCATCCGGGTCAGTCCACACGTCGGGGTCTATGAAGGGTTAGATGGGCGTTTTGATCTATTGCCCAGGTGGATATCAAGTTTGACTCACCCATGTTGCAAGCCCAGGCATTCAAAAAGAACACTGTGCCCTTGGGAATGGTGATTCCCTTATAGGTGATATCCTTGATTGAAGTGCGAGGAAGTGCTAATCGCAGCACAGTGAAGAATCTAGGGTATTGTGGTTAGTCCTCCATTCAGAGGCCGTTGGCAGCGATGGAACCAGAGCATACCGGAGACATTCCTTGACCAGAGCGGCAATATACGCACACTTCTGATCATCCTCAGGGGAGCACATGGGATCATCCTCGCCATATATCTCCTGGGTAGCCTTGGCCGCCCGAGCCTGAATATCGGGACGCTGAGCCAGCAAACCCAGACTCCACGCAACCAAAGTGGTGACAGTATCAAGGCCACCAGAAAGCATAGTCAAGCTAATCGAGGTCAACTCCTCACCGTTCAGCTTAGCCTCCTTGTCCATAATAACATTCGCCTGAATACAAGGCTTATGTGTCCCCTTTACCATGCGATCATCCAGGTCTCTATTAAGCGCACCGAGGTACTTATCACGACGCATTCTCATCTCTGCGGCTTTCTTCGAGTTGGAGCTAAACGGGTTCAACCGCAGAAGAGGGATATAATCCTGCAGGTTTCCGGTGGTGCTTCGGAACCGACTGATCTCTTCCTCCACCTCGGTAATCTCATCGAACAGTTCCTCTTCCTGCGAGGCGATACGCACGCCCCAGTTCAGAGTCAACGCTAAACTCAAGCTCAGACGCTGGATCATGGGCATGGGGTCAACGGGTGTCTTCCCGTGGTTTCCATATCTGTGCAACTCTTCCACAAAGGCCTTTGACTCGACGTCCAAGTGTGACACGTAAGTATCGACGGAGGGACGGTTGAGAGCTGACGCAGCGCCCTTTCTGCGTCTCTTTAGGGAGTCGCTGTATGGCGAGGTACCGATGGTCGTTCCAGCAGTATTGGAAACAATCTAAGTTCATCAGTCTTATTACAAAAGAAGAAAAAGAAAGCAAGAAAGAAAGAAAGAGAGAGAGAGAAAGAAGGAGGGAAGGAAAGAAAAGCCTGCAAATGGCACAACCCCGATGACCAACCTTATGGAAAGTATAAGTCTCGGGCCTAGAGCTCAAGGCCTGCGCATTCTGACCGAAAAGCACTTTTGCCGACGCAGCAGAGTTGACCACGACGACGGGGATGTTCCCCAGCTGGATCTGATAAACGGCACCGTGCTTTTTCGACCAGAGGCGATACTGCTCGGCGGCATCTGTGCGAATCTGCGCCAGGTTTCCGATCAACGGCAATCCGCGCGGACCCTTCATACCCTTGACGCGGGCGGCATCACGAATGAACTCATTAAGAACGACATAGAGGATGGGGACGAGGACGGCTGCGGC